GATCTGTTAGCTGCAGAGACTCAGAAGATGCCACTGCTGAAACATCCCATGATGAATTTTACATTTTATTTTCCAGAAAATACTATCCCAATGTGCAAGAGTAACTAAAGACCCTTCTCTTAATTTCTTTCACCCTAAGACACGTACACCCACAAACACAGAACCATATGTGAGTGACTTCCTTGTGATCAGGAAACTCTTGTGATCAGATGCATGCTACAGTATTCATACACACCACAGCCATGTGGAATTGTGCCAAGGGGAAGTGACTCCCATATGGTAGTGTGTGTCAGTGTGTGTGTGTGTGAAGAGGGTGGATCCTCAGATGAACATGATTTGATTCAGATGGAGGCAGAGAGGCATCTGCTTCACAGATGCAAGTTAAGAAGGGGGAAGTATCACTCAGTTAAAAAAAGATAAAGAATGTGAAACATGGCTTCTGCAATTCTTTCCAACCTCTTTACCAGCAGTGGCAGTAGGAGGCATCTGCATTTTCTTATGGATAGCGAAGTGACATGTTGCATCTGCGTGTCTCCTCTGCTCTCCCTTCATGTTGTATCTATGTCTATATGTGCATTGGGAAGCACAGGCCAGGCTATACAGTACGTGTTCTGCAATATTGGGTCACATGACCAGGACAGAGATGGGAGGGGGACTTAGAATGGAACTGGGGGCAGCCTTCCAAGTCACTGTCCCATTGCCTTCCTTATAGGGATGTTTTTCTCTACAGCCCCCCACAAATCCAACCCATATTCAAATTCATTTTTTTCCCCCAGCTTTACCACACCAAATTTTGTTCCATTCTGTTCTGTGTTCAGAGAGTTATCCTACAGACAACCAGACAGAAATAGTCCCAAGCCCCCTTTACATAAATTATTTCCAACATTCTGATTGGAAAGAATAAAAAAGGTAAAAACTCCTTTGAATAGAATTCGACTCCTGGTGACTTTATGACTTTACTTGACAACAGTACAGGTAGTCCCCAATTTAAGAACGAGTTCCGTTCCCAAGGTCTGTCCTTAAATCGAATTTGTATGTAAACTGGAACAGCATGATCGTATAATACTGTATAAGTAGCATTGTGGAATGAACTTGAACCATTGCGTATTTAACTCGAACTTTGCTACAATAGACTCCATTCTTAACTATGGCTTGTTTGTAACCTTTGCCCATTTTCTTCCAGTATTTTTTTTTTTTACTTCTCGGGGTTTTTTACTTTTTTTTTTTTTAATTTCTCAGTCTAGCCTACAGCCCTAAGATTTCCTAGTAGTCTCACAACTACATATTAATCAAGTCCAACCCTGCTTAGTTTTGGGGCATCAGCCAAGAGTCGCTAGCTGCTGCCACCTGCTGAAAACCATCAGAGAGCTGAAAAGAATGTAGGAGACTAAACCCTTCATGGGTCTAACATCAAGAGGTCACTCGTCCTTAATTCAAGCAGCAGCAATGATTTCTAATCTAAGACCATACTTTATGTAATGACCCAACAGGGAGTTAAGAGTTTTAATATAATGCCCCAATCAAAACCAGAAGATTATTTACTCAGTGGCTGATGTATCCTCCATCTTTCCTCACTTGGGCTCCACTTCTTTGTCCAAAGGTGCCTGAGAGCAAGAATTCCAAAACAGCTTTATAAATGGAAATTATGACCATTTTACTGTGGGAACAGTACAGAAAAACTCCTGAGTTTTTGCTGGACATAACCTCAAAGACAATTTGGAAGACCAAAACCATTGTTTCAACACAAGTGGCAGCCAAATGTGAAACAACAGATACAATTGCCAGAGTTAATGCTCTTTTCATCCCATGAGTAACTGTGCTCAAATAGATCCTAAACACTGCAAGCCTCCCAACAGTGGCAGAGCAGAGCCTGGAGGACAGAAGCTCTCTGGATTGCCTCTTGGATTAACAGTTTGGGAGTCCTTACTCCCACCACCTACCTCCTAGGGAGCATTTAACATCCTGTATTACTTTCCGGCTAATTTACTTTCCGGCTAATTTATTATTTATCCTGCCTATATTTTAAAAAAACTCAAGGTGGCGAACCTACCTAATATTCCTCCTTCCTCCTATTTTCCCCACAACAACAGCCCTGTGAGGTGAGTTGGGCTGAGAGAGCATGACTGGCCCAAAGCCACCCAGCCGGCTTTCATGCCTAAGGTGGGACTGGAACTTCCAGTCTCCTGCTTTCTAGCCTGGAGCCTGAATCACTACACCAACCTGGCTTTTCATTTTTACTATTTATTTTTATTAGTTAAAATGAATTTTAAAAATAAATAATTGCTATTGTGCCACCTCCTGATTGTATAGTGTTGAAATGTGTGATAAGAGACACCAGCCCTTCCCTCCTTGGAGATAAACCAATAAACCAAATCTCATATGGTACAGAATAATTAAACATTATTCAAAATAAAAATGATGAACATGTAGAAAGTTTTAAATATCAGCATGCAGATAATGTTGGAAAATAAACGACAGTGCTGTTTCAATCCAGAAATCCAGCAACTTTAGTGGAACAAAAAAAAGGATCCTACACTATATATAAAATGTATAAAAGTAAATATAAGAATTCCAGCACTCTGCGAGATTATACAGTTTTGCCACCAATAAGAGAAAAGTGGTTTTTAAATAATCAATAGCATAGAGTCCCTAAATTGACAGAAAATACACTGCCCTTAAATTATGGAGAAAAAAATAAAAAAGATTGCAAAACACATAGAAGGATTAATAGTGCAATTCTAACTAGACATTCCTCTATTTCTACCTACCAAACAGATCCTTGAAACAATTTTTTCTTCTTCTGATTCAATTTACCTGGACTTTCTTTTAATTTTCTGGAAGTGCCAAGCTTTAATCTGGATCTGAAGGAGAATAATCTTAGCTTTCCCCTTCTTTCCACTCTGGCATCCCACTTGCTCATCTCCCCTCAGAAAACTGCCTTTTTCTTTCAAAAGAACCAAATCTTATTTAGGGTTACGGGATTCTCCTGAGCGTACTTACTAAAGCCCATGCCTGAAAAAAGTTGTATATTCATAGTCAGATGCTGTCTGAGGTTTAGACTAGCAGCAAGGCTGCAATATTGTGAAGCCCGGTTGGCTTTCACAACACTTCCCATCCACACAAAATCCCATGAAACCTTGTGCAATAGGCAAGTGGGGGATGCTTCTAGATGTAAGGTTTCTGTGCTACCAACCAAAGCATATTGTGCAACTATTCCAAGTCTTTCACTTCTAGCCTGATTTTTTTATAGAAAAAAAAAAAAACAGAAACAGAAAGGTTATAAGCAGAAGATCAGCAGATGGAAGATAAAGTTATGCTGGAAGCAACCAACAGGAATCTACAGATAGTTCTCATTTAGCAACCACAATTGGGACCAGCAACTTGGTCATTAAGCAAAGTGGTCACTAAATGAAACCACAACTAGCTTATGGTCTTACTTCAGCTTTCCTTTGCCTTACAGACCTGCAAAGGTCGTAAATGCAAGGATTGGTCACGATAGAAGATTTTATTCTAACAGTTGCAAAGTTATTCTTTCATCACTGTCATAACTGCGGTGACTAAATGCAGCAGTTGCTAAATGAGGACTACCTGTATGTCCCACAGACTAGGAAGCTTCATACCACTTTTGAGACGCTGATAAAATGACTACCTTCAAGGAGCCTTTTCTTTTTTAAAAATTCTTTCTTAATTTCCACCTTTCATCAAAGAAGGTTGACTGCTATCTCTTTGCTTTGGTAACTGCCAATTACATTTGAAATTTATTTATTATTTATTTCGTAAATTTATATAGCCACCCATCTCACATATGTGACTCTGGGCAGCAAAGTTAAAAAAGAAGGGTACAACAAATAATGAAAAAACATAACAACAAAAAACAGTAAACACATTAAAAGCAGTAAAACCATTAAAACCATAAAATGTAAATGTTGGCAATCCAAACTTATGATTTTTTCCCAGAGACTGTAAAAGTCTCTGTAATACATCATCCATCTCCAACCAAGTAGTACTGTAAGCTACAAAAATGAGCATCAGAAAAAGCCCAAATGCATGAAGGAGAGAAGGCCGATTTTTAAACTACATTGGGACAAAATACCCTCCCGGCAGAACACAAATTATAAATTAATTAAATTGAAAATGTGGAAATCTTGGCCAAGTTTTGAATTTGGAATTTATATCAATATTGAGCTCAGATCAACAGAAAAATAATTTAAGCAGCCCATGATGCTCCATCAAAACCCAGGTAATATCTTCTTTTTAAACAAACATCTAATTATTTCTTAAACACATTTCTTGAACATATTTTGAAGTCAGCAGGAACCAGACCAGATGAGTTTCTTCTGTCAACGTTCTGTTCTCTTTTAGAACATTTTGAAGAACAAACACTTCTCACTGGCAAGAGCCAAGAATAAAACCTTCCACGATTGCACCTATTTTACATATAAATAAGGGGAAATAAACCCCAGGAGGTGCTCATTTACACCTCCTTCTTACCAGTTCCTCTTCTTTGATATTTTACATTAATATGTAGCGCTTCTTTCATGTCCCGTACTTAGATATACTGCTTTCAGTTGGTTGTAAAAGGGTATATTTAATGTCCTAGTTCTGTTACCTATAAATACACAGGGGCACGAGCCATTTAGGAATCCGACGTTAAGTGCGCTGTTGAATGGGCCGTTATTCTTTATTACTGAATGTACGCGAAGCGCTCATCCCTTTAAAGGCTATTCCCTGTACTGTCATTTGGTTCTTAACGGTAATCGAGTCCTGCAATGGCAAAAGAAACCAAAAGGCGGCCATCAAGCGTTTTAGCACCAGAACGCCACCAAACCGCCCACGTCTAATCACCCGCACTTCCCGGATGTCTCAGATTTCAATCCCCATCACCCCCAGCCGCCCCCACCTGGCAAAAGCTTTCTCAGCCGCCGTGAAACCAGGCGCCCCTCGGAACCTTTGGCCGCCAGCTGTGGGCGGGGCTTGCCTTTCCTCCAGCTTCCTGGCGCGCGGCTGCGGCTGCGGCTGCGGCGGCCGCGAAGGTGACCCGGGTGGTGGGAGGAGCTCTCTTGGCGGCGTCGGTCGCCTGCCGACCATGCCCGGGCTGCGGAAAGCCAGCGGTCTCGTGGCGTCAGCGGCAGGCTCCTTCCCTCCGCCCTTTTTCTCCCCTGTGAGCGGACGGAGCCCGGAAAGTTGCCGCACGGAACCCCCCCCCCTCCTCTTCTTCCAACCCCCCACCAG